GGTACCATCCAGGCTGACGGCCCACCATCTCTCCAGAGCTGCCCAAAGTGATGTCCAAGACCAGGCTGCTCAGGTCATTCCGGCCCCCCTGAGGACCCTGTGGCCTCCCCCACAGAAGCAGCCAGAATGGACCAAAGGATTTGAGGACTTGGGGGGAGAGGTTTCCCTCACAGGTTTTAGTGTGCCTACCACCTGTCCGGAAGAGGCCGTCTGCGGACTGGAGCCCAGGCGTGCCCATCACTCTCTGGAGAATCCCTGGAGCACCCCCTGCCACAGCAGCTGCCCCGGAGCCCGGCCAGCCCACCCTCAGGTCCAGAAGTGTGCCCCCTCACCAGGCAGACCCTCTCAAGGCCACTGCCAGGCGCCTCTTGGAGCCACTGTGCTCTAACTTGAAACAAGTCACTTAACTCTTCTTGGGACCTGTTTGGGGTGGGGGGGGCGGGGGCGGCACTGTCTAAGCTTCAGAAGCTTTTCATTTCCTTTGGAGCTTTAGGCTCCCGTTCTGGAATCGTGCCTGCTGGTACTCAGGGATGGAGAGAGCTCCCCAGGACAGCCAGCTGTGGCTCCGGCAGGTCTGCAGCTGCTCCAGGAAGGTGAGGGCCAGGTGTGAACGGCGGAGGCCGGGTCTCAAGTCAGAACCAACAGGCCACCAGCAGGTCCCTGGAGGCAGGCGCAGCAGCAAGTACGACCAGATGCGGGCTGCTCTGGCTGAGCAGAAGGAAGCGTGCAGGAGGCTGACCCCCGCAACACCATGGCGGCCATCCGGGCACCTGAGGGTGTTCTGAGGACAGAAGACACCCAGGGAAGCGTCTAAGAGTTTGCCTCTGGCACACAAACACCCGTCTGCAGACCAGCCCATTGCTTCTCAGGTGCCCGGAAGCCCATTTCCCTCCAGCCTCTGGCCTGGCTTGCAGTTCGTGAGCTCAGCCCTGGAGGCCTTGGCTCTTTACGCCCTCTGCCCCATATCCCACGGCAGGACAACGCCCCAGGCCTGGATCCTCTGGATCGCCC